GATGGGTAATTTCTTTCCTACTGTTAGTACCACTTCTTTTAGGAGTTTTTTTGTGACGCATTAAAATACCAATATTAGGAATTTTCATTTGTTATGTGTTTTTAGGGTGCGTTTATTTATTAACTTTTCTGAATTTTCTTCTTAGTTTTTTTCTTTGATAACTCTTATGAGTTCTTTTTTAGGGTGCGTTAAACATGTTTCATAATAAAGATAAATAAGACGTTTAGGCTGTCAACATATATTGTTTTTCTATCTAATTTTTTAAGGTATTATTATTAAGTTATACAAGGAAATAGTTAAAGTAATTCTCTTTCATTTTTAGGTACGAGTCAAAGTTTATCAAGAAAATAGTTAAATTTCAATAGCAACCTAACAATTCTTCTTCTTGTTTCTGAGATCTATTTTCTCTGCAAAGTTAATTCTCTCATTTGGCTAATTCTTTCTTTGAAGTCTCCTAATTAATAATTTGAGTTTTTAATTGTCCAACATTGACAGAAATAGGATGGGTGAAGTTCTAGGCTTCTTTCTTTTTCTTGGTTCATAATTTATCCCAGTAGTTTTGTTCAATGACTGCTTTTGTTTTTTATTCAGTGGTTTTTTTTTGGTGCTAAGCGAATAAAAATGAACTCTAACTACTACATGCAAGAGAAGGAAAAAATGGTATAAAAATTTCTTCAACTTTGAAAGAGCTTTGCAACAGAGTTTTTATTCGGTTTTAGCGCGCTGAATCTAACTTAACATAATATCATCTACTAAGAAATTAAAGAATACATACAACTTTATGACGTCATTTTTGGTTTCAAAATTATTCCAGTTGGAATTTGTCGGTTTCAAAATTAAAAATTGTGCTCATGCCGACCCCAACACCCAGACCGCATCTCTCTGTCATAATCATCATATTAACTAAAGCTGAATTTTGGTTTGAATAGTAAGATCCACAAGACGAATTTGCAATGATGCATCAAGTTAACATTTTTATTTTTTTCCAGCGGATTGTTCCTTATATGATAATCTAACTTTGATCATTAGAATTTAAAGAACCAGAAGCACCCCCGCATTTTTTCATTGGCTTTATATTATTGTTTAGTCCACGCAGTGTGCCACATCAATAATCTAACAGATTTTTGGTAAAATCAAATGGTAGGGGCCAAAATTGATGTTGGATGTTAATTTGGAGGACTATGCTGATAGAAAGAAAAAACTTTACGGACTAAAGGTGGTAATTTTGTGAATCTTAAACACCATTGTTGAATGTAGACTTCACTCATGCTAGATAGAGACACCAAATTATTGACAGTTTTAAAATGGCCATATCTTCATAAAAGACAGAATCTTTTAAGTCTTTGAAAACAAAGAAAGAAAGTGAACAACTTATCGTTGAAAAGCGAACAATAGTCATTAAGAAAGGACAACAACTTATCAGTGTTGCCAATTAGCTAATTGTTTAGGTTAGAAAGCGGCGAAAAACCTCATGACTCACTCGATATCTTCTTTAGGTTAGTGCTAAGTATTATCCTTCGAGAAAAAAAGACATCTTGATTTCACATGCTTTGACTAAAAATAATTGCTTTTTTTTTTTTAATGTATTTGAGGAGTATTTTTGTTCAACACTTTAACCCAATGTATACTCTAACTACCATGATATTATTACACTTACACATCATACTTTATATCAAGCCACCTAACCAACACACTACATAATACATATTATCTGTATTATTAAACTTACATATCATACCTTATATCGAGCCACCTATACACCACAAAGTCTTCATTTTCTCCCAAAGTCCAAAAACTAATTGCCCCTAAAGTCTAAAACCATCGGCTTGAGGACTCCATCATCTAGACCCAGATTGATCTTCAGTTTAGCACTACTACAAAAAGGGCAAAAGACGACCAGTAAACAACGACGGTAGATCAAAAAACCGTCGTTGTTTTTTAAAAGACGACGGTAATAGAAACCCGTCGTAGAAACATACTTTAAACACCTAAAAAACGGCACACATATAGATATTTTGAAACCACGACGCACCAAATTAAAAAAGCGTCGTCTTATTACAAAGGTATTTTCAGAGTTAAAATCTGAACCTAAAAACAACGACTGCATCTATAAAATCACCGCCGTAGAAAGTAAAGACGACGATATAAAAATAAGACGCCGTGTTAATTAATTAATAAACACGACCCAATTTTCTTAGTCAGCGACGCATAAATTCAAAGGAATCTACGACGGTTAATTACAAAAAAAATCGCCGCTTTAAATTAAGTTACCACGACTGTAAATATAAATTTATCGACTTTTTAATTATAATATACTACGACGGTATCCATAACTCTACTGTCGCATAATTGTACTAACCACGACGGTTTGTTAAATTAACGACGTACAAATTTTATGCAATTATTCGTCTATCATTACCAGAATGAACTCTGTTCCTCATCATAATCGAACCAACACACAAAGGCAATGTTTTAGAAGTGGATGATGTGCCAATTACTCTCACAAGGAGTTTGAGGGCAAGAAGCTTGTCTCAGCCGCCAAGGAAGGTCTCAAGCTTGATGAGAGTGAAGACGAGGCAAAGAAGAAGGAAGAGTTGAAGGAGAAGTTTGAGGGACTCTGCAAGGTTGTGAAGGATGTTTTGGGTGACAGAGTGGAGAAGGTTGTGGTGTCTGACCGTCTGACCGTGCTGGACTGCCAACATGGAAAGAATCATGAAGGCTCAGGCCTTGAGGGATAACAGAGCGGCTGGGTACATGTCGAGCAAGAAGACCATGGAGATCAACCCAAAGAACCCCATCATGGAGGAGCTGAGAAAGAGGGCTGATGCAGACCTTGTTCTCCTTCTGTGCAGAAAGACAATATTTAGATGATGTGTGCGTGTTTGTGTCTTTCAGATACACAAACGCGCACCCACATCAACATCCAAACTGAAAAATGAAAGCGAGATGAGACAGAGAGGAGAGGTGATGTGCCTCCAGAGAATTGAGAAAAAGTTGAAACCCTAATTGAAAAATGAAGACGACAGAAAGACAGAAAACCCATTATTTATAAAAAAATCTTATATACCACGTCGGTTTTTTAAAATATCGACGTTTATATATAACATACACGTCGTTTAAATTTAAAATAAGGTCGTATAAATTATTTAACAACGACGCTATATAAAAACGACGTTGTAATTTTTTGGAAAATTAATTTATTGTGTAATTAAAAAAATTACACGTCGGTATGAGTAATTAAAACGACGTGGTATTAATTTGTAACGTCGTTATTATTGAATATAAGGTCGTTGGGTAAATTGGAAAATGACGATTCATCTTTTTTGAAGAAACATGCATCGTGTAATTCGATTTAAAAACGTCGTTTCATTAAAAAAATACCGTCGTGGAAAGTAATATTATAGGGCAGTGTTAACAATAGCACCGTATAATGTATC